AACACTTGTTCCTTCACTGGTTTTTCATCGTTTGGTGATCCAGTGAATAAACTCCCCCTTATCTCAGTACTTTATTATGCTATGATGCTTAAAAAAATAAAACGTAACTTCAATAACTATATTTTGAATTCTCTTTTTCACAGTGAGAAAAATAAAACTATTACATACAATTAATTCCACTTCAAACATGTAAATACGAACACTCACCTTATAATTTTTTCAAAGAAACAGGAAATTGTAGAGGTAATAACAAATTCAAATTTTTTTCCAGAGAAGTCTATTTGACCAGGTAATCCAAAACATTGCTGGATGACTTCCTATTGTTCGGCAGTAAGTTATTGTTACCAATCAATCTAAAGAAAAACTTTCAAATTCTTATTTTTAATCAATATACAGGGTGACTCAGTTAAGCGTTTCAGAACTTCTAAGAGGGGTAGGGGGCATCCTGACGACTCGAAATCATATAACAATGGGGTGTCGGAAATGCTTTCCTGAAGCGGTGACGTACACAGAAGCACCATAAAGAAAAGAGACCGTAAGTGAAAAATTGCTATAATAATACATTGAAAAAATTGCATGGCCTCCTCGGTCACCCGACCTATCATGTCTTGATTTCTGGAGTCATATGAAAACACTGGTTTATGACACCCTTGTTGATAATGCTGATTGCAAGAATCGCAGTAGCTGCCTGCGAGATATGCCTGGAGTATTGCAGAATGTTCGAATGTCCTTGAGCCGGAGATCTGAGGTGTACATTGTAGCCGGTGGCAGAAACTTCGAACACTTACTTTGGCCCATGTACCATATAATTTTTTCAATGTATTATTATAGCGATTTTTTACTTACGGTCTCTTTTCTTTATGGTGCTTCTGTGTACGTCACCGCTTCAGGAAAGCATTTCCGACCCCACATTGCTATATGATTTCGAGTCGTCAGGATGCTCCCTACCCCTGTTAGAAGTTCTGAAACGCTTAACTGAGACACCCTGTATATGAAATGTTCCTTCACTGGGTAGTGTTCCTTCACTGATTGGTTTACCCTAAATTGAGAAAAGTTATTAAGGAAAACTTTTTTCGAGTGAACGAAAAAAAAAATGAGAGAGGGAGCGAGATAAGACTTATTTTTGCAAAAGATGAAACAAAAAACCTTAGACTCTTCATTTTTACATAAACTTTTTTCACCAGCTAAAATTTTTCAGTACTTTTCGAAAGTTATCCCTGAAGTTAGCTAGTCAAAAATAAAATTTTTCAATCTTGAAGAAATACGATTTTTAAATCTTTTTTGTTTTACTTATTATACAATAAGCATTTCAATTACCTAACAAATACAAGCTGAACATGAACAAGTTGAACAATTACAATCTGAACTACGAAATCGATTTCATTCAACAGAAATTTCGTGTGTATGAACAATGAAGGAAAATAGTAAAAATTTATTTCCCGCAATGGTAAAAACTCTAAAAAAAATAATAAAGAAATAAAAGAAAACAATCTTCTAAGTTAAATGGAGGAATCGCATGATAAATTACTTTCCAAACATGGCATGCAAAGGTCATGGTACTGGAGATTTTTAAAAAAACATACTATAATCATCAAATATTTTCGCAATCGTCTACCTCACCTCCTTCGCCTTTTAATTCTGTACAAAATTGAATTGTATAAGTTATGAAGGTTTCATGCTCCTGCTTATTTATTCAGGTTGATGATGGCAAAAAATTGTAACAATGGCCACTTTGTTGACAATTGTAGTTTTCCCTATAGCATCCACCGAGTTGACCAAACATTCGAAGGTCAGAGATTTTATAGGGAACGGATAGGCACAATGGGAAAGTCTGGCCTATTATCACGCAATCTAACAAATTGTTGAAAAGTATGTATTATTTCTGTCTGTTGCATACTTGTCACCTGATCAATGGTTGCAGATTGACATTTATATCAGTCTTAAGCCTGATAAATATAAAGGTGTTTACATTTTGCTATCCGTATATTGTTTGGATAATTAAAGTAAGTCACTTTAATGTTATCTTTGTTCAGAAATTCGTCATTAATTAAATTTTACCATCAATAAATTAAAAATTATCACTAATCATGATCTGCTGCAGTCTTTGGGACGATGGTTTAAGATTGATATTTCCATTTAACTATTTCTACCGATAAGTTTATACATATTGTTAATTAATACATAATATTGTTTGCATTTCATTTGAATTAAAGCTATTTATAATTTATTAATAATCGGAGATTTGTCAATCATAATTTAGTATATAAATTAATTTTATCATTAAAAAGTTTAATGTTAACATTCACTTGGGGCTTCAGCTCCTGGTCGCTCATTTGAACACCCTCCGCTGATTGCTTAGCCATTATTTTTTGTTTCGTGGAAGCAGATTGTTATACCGAAACTAAAAATTATTCAATTAAACTGTTCAAAATGTTTTATTCTATTAATAGATCTTTGCATAAAAAGTAAACCAAATAACTTTGTTTACCATTACAACTTCATCTTGAATTTTTAATTTTCCGTTATTATAAAAAACTATTAAATATTTTTCATGAAAGAGATTATATAGCAATAGTGGGAACTGTTAATCCCTAATATTTCTTTGCAATTTTGAATAATTAATTTGCAATAACTACTTTAATTATATTTGAAGATCATTGAAATCTGATTTCGAGAGAAACGAATTTCAAGATGTGAGAATTTTCAGAAGCAAGCATTGGATTGAAATCGTTAAAAAAAAATATGCACAAATTTCACAAGCTTTTATTTATGTCACTTAAAATTTAAAAAAAAATAATTTACAACTTGATGTTGAAAAAAAATTGGAAAATTGCGTTGGTCAAGAGCCGTTTTTACCTAAAAATTCTTTATCTCCTCACTCGTATTCTTATACTTTTCATTGTGCTTTATTTGTTCTCCTTGTCTATGAGTGGACAAAAAACCGCTTTTCCAGTACAGTCAATCTTCACTTCGTAACAACTCTCGAGGAGAACAGATTATTATTAATTTGTCAAAACTTAGTAATCTTCAAAATGCAATATATGGCGATCCAATTATTCTTTTCGTGAAAAATGGTCACAAACCTTTCTTCCCCCTTGATCTTCATCCTTATGACGAAATACACAAAAAGCAAAATTATCATTAAGGGGTACAAATTTTCGATTGTTATCCTGACTTACGGGAGGAGCCCACCCTGAGATGGTAAAATATTAACGTTTTTCTTGAATTTTTTTTAAGTAATAGAGACAATGCAGAGACTTCTTGTTTTTTTATGTTATTTAGCTACAATTTAAGTCTATTTAAAAAAAATTTCTTTTACAAAATAATAAAAAATAAGTTGGTGGCAGCTCTGTGTGTGGCTGGTCATCAAAAAGTAGCACCTCACTGGCCTCATGGATTTAGAAGTCCTGAAACATAGGAAAACGATTTTGCTCAGATTTTTTGAAACATAAAGACATTATCTAAAAAGTAGCTTAGCGGTTTTTTGATATTCGCAAAATTAGCAAAATGGCGGCAACTTAAAAAAAAAGTTAAGTTTTTCATTAAAAAATATTCATTAAAATACTAATATAAAATTGAAATATAAAAATATCAATATTATCCTGCGCTACTTTCTAAAGAATATATTTTTACGTAATTCAAAATAAAGAACAGCTTATTTCGTTGTATAGATCATGAGAAAAACGTTAGGCCCGGTCAAAAAACAGCGTTTTGAGAAAAACGTGTTTAAAGTTTTGACTTACGGTAGGGAAAAACATTTAATTTCATATAAAAAAAGGTCAATAAATGAAATGCCTACAATAAGTTTCTATATACAGTCAACAGAATGGATGAGCCACAAAAAGAATGTCGCCCCTCCTAATCCGGCCGAGCGGGTCTTTCTACCTGCTTAGTGACGACTCTCTATTTTCCTATTTAACTTCCAAACGAAGTTAGGTACCGAGAAATCATTTTAGACAGACATTAGGAAGGATACAAAGATTCGAAAAATGCAATAAAATGCAATAAAATATTCAGGGTAGGGTCCCCCCTTAACTATTCAGACCATATTACCCAAATTGCGGGTATTCCTTATATTTTGGGGGTCAGAAATTCTGATCCGTCGGGAAAAAAATGTTTCTTCAGAGAAAATACATTTTCGTGTCTAATTTCGTAACTTAAACTATCGTTAACTCATTGAGCCGTAAAACGTGAAGATCCGATCGTTAGATCAAAAGTTATGTAGGGTGGTCCGTTTATTTTTTGCGCACTGTTGGTTCGTTAAAATCAAAAAGGAGTTCACATTTCTAAACACAAGTAATCGATAAATTTGTTTTTAAAGTTTTAACTCTTTCGAATACTTACTGTGAACTCAGTCGAAAATTAACTTCATTAAAAAATTATTGAGAACTATTTCAACAATTCTATGATTTATTTAAATGCTATTATTACGCATGAGCACTGTGAGCGAAGTATACAATTCATATAAAGTACGTATCTGTATTTTTTCTGTTTTAAATACTGCAACAAAAATTTGTGTTTTTAGAAACGAATAATTTGATATGCACTAATCACATAGATGACGAAAATTATCCTTAGTCATTGTTAGATCAAGAGTTTCAGTTCCGTTCCAGTTGGGCAAACAATGCGATATTTTCGTGGTTTTTCTTTTCGCGAAACGTAGAGGCTCTCAAATTTCTGTCACGAAATCTTCTGAGATAGTATTTGTCTCAATACTGTCTTCTGAGTTAGATCCAAAATTACAAATCATAAAATATGAAAGTAATTGTCTTCTTGATGGTAATTAAAAAATGGAATAGATTTTAATTAAGGGTAATTTCGTTTCATATAAAAAAATAAGTAAAAATTAGCATAGAAATAGTGAGGAAAAATTAGTTAATGCATCTAGTCCATTATGGGAGATTTTGAAATATTAGCTATGCTTAAAACTTGGCATTGATTAAACATTATGATAGTTTTATTCTATTTCCTTGATAAAATAAAGATGATTATAATATAATTTCAAACTTTCAGTGCTGTTTCCCTTATTAATAAATTACAAAATTTATTTTTTAATAATTTTTGAATTATTATTTTATTATATTTTTATTATTTCTCTGCTGAAATTTAATTTTTAGTTTTTAGCATGAAATTCATCATGAAGCTTAAGTTTGATGCACCTTCAACTTTTATTTTTAGGAACTATCCATTTGCAAAATATTTTTTAAATACCATCCTTTAATAAATATTTTCAGATTCCATTTATAGAAAATTAAGTTAGAAAAGTATGCACAGCTTGAGTGGGACTCACAAATTTATATTTAACTTAAGGAAAAAAAACTTTATCGAAATCTAAGGACACTTGGCAGGAAGATGGGATTGTAAACATCAAAATTGGTTTATTGCCTGATGAATCAAAAGATCACCTTTCGGCTCTTCTCTTTTTCTTAGTACAGCAATCAAACACGGTTTGATCTCTTTCATTCCGCCTTCATCGTAAGTGATTAGACAGATTTCAATAATGCTTGCTTCATTCTGGCTTAAATGTTAATTTGGTTACCCTAACTTCAATTGAAAAAAAAAAAATCTGAAAATATATAATTTTGGTGATCTTGTAAATTTCGCCGTGGCTACAACAAATTATAAGAATTTTCATTTCCTTACCCATTGAGGTATAAAACTGAGCATTTTCTTTGAAAATTTCATGATGAATTATAGCGGTATTTTTGTAAATTTAACTTTAATCCATTGCATTTTTAAATTCCGTATCGTTTCGGGACAGTCAGATCTTGTTAATGTGTATTTCATTCTTGTTGGTTAAAGAATTTCTATATTTATGCGTTCCAAAATTCGGAGATTTGGACTGGGAACAGATTTGGAGTTCACGGGCAATAATTTAAAGACAGTTGCATAAGATAATTTTTGAATATGTTCCATTTTCCATCATGAAATTTTGTGATTTTGTGGACAAAGAGAAACGTTATTCGCAATATTGAAAATGAGTAATGAACTTACTTTCTGAACTTATTGTAGGGTAAATGTTTCTAATGTACGAAACTCTTTTTGAAATTGATATTATAGCATAATTATTATTGTTATTATAATATCTAATGTAGATAGGACAGGTGTAAATCATTAGACAGCGGCAAAATTTTCAAAACTCAAAAACAGTGCAGTGCTATCTCAAAAAATAAAAATTTTAAGAGAACTGCAAAATCCAGTGGGATAGTGTCAAGATTGTACCTGAAGTTTGATCCTAGGTGTACCTCGAGTCTGTACCTAGAGTCTGAACTGTATATCGAGTCTAAAGTAAGGGATATGGACTTATTTTTTTATTAATAGTACGTCGATATAGTTGTTATAATGCATCTTTGGTATAACGAGTGAATAAAGGAAAAGAGCGAGAGCCAAAATTAAGAAACAAATTGAATAGTCAGCATACCAGTGAATGAGCGAATTACTAAATAGAAAAATCAATTTATCAAAAATGATAAAATAGCTCATAAAATCGTAATTTGTTTGTACGGTAGTCGAATACACTAATTACTCCTAATTTCTTTTCTTAAAATACACATCGATTATTAAAATGTTACTTTTATTTTTAGATGCTAAATCGTTATGTGTTTGTTGGATAAACAACCAAGAAAAACAAGGCCAAAATGCAGCGGAACAGCAAATCATTTGACGTTCCACCTTTGGAGCCAAAAATTGAACAAGTGGTACCACCAAAGAAAAATAAATTCTCAGTTTTCAAAGGACTTATTTTTGCCATGTTATCGGGCGTGTTTTACTCATCAGCTGCTGTTATAGTCAAACAGATGAAAAGCTTACATCCTGGCCAGCTAGCAGTTTACCGTTTCGTGGCAATCCTAGCAATATCTCTACCAGAAGCTGTCAAATGCCGTAAAGAACTTTTTGGTCCAAAAGATTATCGTTTCCTTCTCGTTCTTAGAGGCATATTCGGTGCAACGAATCTTTTCCTCAATTTTTTAGCCTTCCGATACTTACCTTTAGGTGAGGCAGCTGTAATTATATTCAGTGTTCCTGTTTTTGTCACGGTGGCTGCGAGAATCTTTCTAAAAGAACCTTGTGGAATGTTCCAGTCCATAACAGTCGTCCTCACAGTAATTGGTATAATATTCACAGCCAAAATCCCATCTCGTCTTTCAAGCAATCCCGTTGTGTATTCAAAAGAGTTTATCTACGGCATCATCGCAGCAGTTGCTTCACTTCTCTTCAGCACTTGCAGATTCATTGTCCTTCGTAAAGTTAAAAGTGTTCATCATGCCATTATAATGTTCAACTTTGGATGGGTGGCTGTTATAGAAACTGCCTCGCTTACAGCTCTCATTGGAACTTTCCAATGGCACGAATGTGGCTTGCAAGGTCTGTTTATCATTCTCCTTGGCTTATTCAGCTATGCCGGGCAGACTTTATTGACTATGGCCTTACAGTGCGAATTAGCAGGTCCAGTATCCACCATGAGAGCTGCTTCTGACATAGTTTTGGCATTCCTCTGGCAGACGTTCCTATTTCATGACATTCCTGATATTTTCAGTATTGTTGGTGCTGTTTTGGTTGGATTTTCAGTTGTCTTTGTTGGGTTAAAGAAATGGGTATCCTCTTTACCCGAGGATTCTTCGAAGCTTAAATATTTAAAGTGGATGACTAAGTAAGAACGGAAGTGTCTGTAGTTCTCATTGTATAGTTTATATAAAATTATTTCATATGTTAGCATTGCTTACTTTTTTAAGAATAAAATATCAAATGATGACTTGGATTTGCTTGAGTATTGGAGTTTTCTATAATAAATCTTGATTTAGTTTGATCGTTTATGTGTCGTTAGAGCTATACTAAGGAGTTATTGTGGTGTTTTCAAAGAAAAATTTGTTAAATTGTTAATATAAAAGTTTTACGAACTTTTTCCATTTCTGGATAGCTGATATTATTGTCATATTTGATTTTTCCCTTATCTAAATAATATTTCCCCCTATTCTTCCAAGAAAATACCTTTTCATGAAAGGAAATTTCCCTTTAATATCAAAGATTGTTCATCTAAAACACATGATCAGGGAAAAGGAAATCCGATCAGACTTCCAGCCTTTATCTTAGGAAATCGAACCCCAGCCCAAACTAGGGAAAAACAAGGACGCTATCTATTATACAATCTGGCTGACTAAAATTATAACAGTGCTCTTACGAACACTTTAAAGCCAAAACCTTTTCACGACTTTTTAAAAAAGCGAGACTATTTTAAAGGTTTTGCATACAATTTAGGGTTTTGGTTCTAAACTGTTGTTCCGTGAATTTACGACAGAACGAGAAACCAAAAATCCGTAAAAAATTAATGTACAATTAACAGGGAATAACACTGTAAAAATTTTAAAATAAAATTTTTCTTATCTTTCTCATAACTCTTTATTATGTACTAAAAAAAACATATTTCTAAAAATAGAAGCTGAAATTAAATTTGTGAGTAAGCGCTTTTAAAGAGATATAGATGGAACCTTACTGTCGTAAGGAGTAAAAGGTTTTTTTTCTTCTTTCTTTTGTTTTCTTTTTAACTGAGTTTTTATATTTTGATAATTCTTAATTCTTATGATTATTCAAATGAAATATAGTTTGTTTATGATTTTTTGTTAGCATTAACAAATAGTTGGGTCTGCGTTATTCAATATACGTTACGAAAGTAAAACTTACATTGGGTTTTTGTTAACGATATCGTGCTTAGTATCTATTTTTATAATTTTTTTTCCAAAATTGAAGTTAAAAAACACACCACATCATCAATATTAATTCGTCAGATTTTGATAACGCTTTTTTTTTAACCTAAGTTTTAGTTTTGGTAATTGGCACACTTTTTGTAGAGGACACTTCAAATGCACATTGAGGGTGGTGATTACAGAGCACCCTAAATAATATACAATTTTTCAACTTTCTCTCCAAAAATTTGTGTTTAATGGATCAGAAAAGGACGGGAACAACTGAATTAGATTTTTACTGGTTTACAGTAATTTTTTGTGACTAAATGTATCTTTTGTTTAACCAAAAGTATTAATAAGAAATTATTGCTGACATTAAGCGTATACAAAATTTGTCTGAAAATTTTCAAATCAACTGATTCATTAAAAAAGTATTTTTTTAAAAGTTTGATCGCTTGTACTTTGTTAAGTCTCTTTTGAAAATGAGCAATAAAATATTTGTGCTTATAATGAGGTTAATTAGATTTTTGAGCATTTATGAGCTTAAAGAGTAATTTATGATTCTGATATTTTCTTACGATCTGTTAATTTAAGTTATGTTGAAAATAAAAATTTATGTTCAGAAGGAGAAAGCAAAAGCTATTATTTAAATCGCTAAAACTCAAGTCAAAGATAACAATATATATAAGAGAAAATCCAAAACTAACTGCATACAATTATAAAAATCCTTTATCCTGAGATAATTCCCAGCAAAAATAAATTTTTACTATTATTTATAAAGTTATTTGGTATTTATTTAATATTTATTATAAATTTATTTAATAATAGTAAAAGGAATTGTAAGGAATGCAAAATTTTGCACCATTTTAAAGTTTACAGTTTTTAATGACAAAATATGTAATTCGACCGAAATCGGTCGAATAGTTTCTGAGTTATAATTTAACCGTTTGAGTGCTGAAGAGTTCTCTTATATATATGCTAATAGTGTGGAATGAAATGCGTAGTAATTTCATCCCACAATAAAAATCTCAATTGAGTAAAATGAATAAAAACTGCGATTGATATGAATTCAATTGCTTTCAATAGATGCGAAAATTATTCTAACCAACAGCAGCGTCTCCGCATTTTCGGTACAAAACATCCGCATTTTTGGCACATGACAAGCGAAGCGCTTCGCCGCACTCAAACGGTTAATAAAAGTCGGTTTATTACAAGCTTAATTTTCGAGAAATGTTTGATTGATTTCAATTCAAAATTCGTATTTTTTCCTCGAAACTTTACTTACATAAAATGATGAAAAATTTTGCATGCTTAACTTATCTAAACCCCTTTTAGAATATTTTTAAATAAAATGCTAAAAAAAAATACTTAAAAATAATTTTTTACATTAAATTATCTATAAATAAATGAGTTTTTTTTTTTTAACTTTCCGCAATTTTTTTTCAATTATTTTAAGAAGCTAAAGCATTTAGCTAAAGATTCTGTGTAAAATTTTAATAATGAGGTGATACCATACAGCTTTATTGTTTTTACATGACTGAAATGAATTTGACCTTATTTACGTTCGTGAATTAATTGGTTAACATTGTAATGCAATAGGTTTAAAATAAAAGCAAAGAGGAAGTATATAAAAAATCTCTTGAATTAAAACCCATTACATGTATGTTTAAGTATAAAAATGTTGCATATAAACTCGTGCAAATCATGTCATTATTAAAAAACTACAGTGCGTCTAATAATTTGGTCGCATTATTATAATAAATAATATAATACCTGATATGATAAACATTCTATATTTACATAATATATTGTCTAAATTTATCCTGTCGTCGAATTTATATTATATATCTTCTAATTTAGCCAATTAATACACTAACATAAACAAGTGCAAACTGGTTTAAGCTGCGTAAAAACAATAAAGCTGTATAGTATCACCTGATAATTTAGATTTTACGTAGAATTTTATAGTGCGTCTAGTAATTTGGTGCATTGTTGAAGTTCAAGATACGCACAACATTGAAGTATTACTTAGATTAAAGATGATGTATGTGTATTGATTTTATGCCTGATGTATTTCGAACTAGATATTTTCATACAGTATACACTGAGTGTCCAAATTATTATGACCACCCCCAGGGCCGGATTAAGACCTCTTGAGGC